GACAAATGATTGGCTGACACGTGCCGCTGCGCGGCACATGTCAGCTAATCATTTGCCCGTTTGAGCCAAATTACCGTATTCAACAATTTTTGCCCAGTATTGTATACATATTATACAATTGGCTCTTATTAAATACAGTATATATATATATATATATATATATACTGTATATTACAGTATATATATATCAACTAGTATGGGCTATCTAGTGGCTATCTCAACAATTTACAAAAATAGTAAAAATGCCGATTTTTTGTTGAGAATATTTAACGGTTTCAGGGAATTTTGGGCATTCCTAACATCCAAATATGTTGGGATATTCTTTATTAAGTTCACATGTTACTCTGGGTATTTAGATCACTTTAAATCACTTGTTTATTTTCTATTTGTCAATTTATTTTATTTGATGTAAACTAAAGATATATTTATATTTAATAGTATAGATGCTTTTTTTTTATTCATATCGATATATCCGTAAACTGCTAACTAGGATTATTTGAGAGTTAAAATTTCTCTTATATATGGTTATTATACTACAAAGTTTATTATAAAATGCAGTATTTCTATGTCTTTGTGGATAAAAAACAAATACCCGTTTACAGTAATTGTGATCATAATTATTTCTATGTAAGCGTTATATAATGATAAATTAGAACAAGATCATGCAGTTTTGATATATAATGATAAATTAGAACAAGATCATGCAGTTTTGATTTTATTTAAATTATAACTGTATAAATAAAATTATGAAAGGTTATATACCGAGTTTAGCATACTAATACTAAATAAGGATGAAGATTACCAGAGTATGCTAGTTCTTAAAAAAGGGTTAAAATAATTGCTCAAATATTAATTGTTCACCCAAAAACTCTAATTTTAAAATGTTCTCACAAATTTAATATACGACCGTACAGAATGGCTGTGTTGCACAAGATTATCATGATCAAGTGTAGTAAGTAAAATTCTGATTACTTACGTACTAATTATCGTTATAATTATAAATTAACGTAAATAAAAATGAAGCAAATAACAATCAGGTGACAGCAAAATTTATAGCTATTTTAGATAAGACTAATGAATGATCTTTTTACTTATCGAATAAATTATTGCAAATAAAACAAAATTGAGAGATAAATACCATGAATTTGAATAGTTTATTTTGACATATATACCAATTAATAAAAAAGATCTTATACTTCGTGATGAAAAGAAATGATAATAAATAAGAGATTTAGCGTGATTGTAAATGTTATGAATTCAAATAGCCTATTTAGTAATAAAAAATATTCATACTGATGAAAATACTATAAACAAGATGAACAAAATAAGAATTTTATAGTGATAGCAAATGATGTGAAGTCAATTAGATATTAATAATAAAAAGATCTTTGTATTTTTGTATTCACTAATCGAATTTCTGCGGATTCCGAATCAAAACTGACTTGGTCGGATATATTTGAATTCCACTTAATACAGTAAGTACAGAAGTAGGTTTAAAATTAACTCAAAATTAATTAATCATTATCAAAGCAATAAAAATTAGGGGAATTTACAATTAAGGACCCAAACAGGTAAAATAGGGCCCTATTTTAGAAAATTTTACTATATCTCATGGTACAGTAAGCGAAATTCAATGATTTTGATACCATTCGAATCTTCTCTTCAAGACGGATCGAATGGTACTAAAATTGCTAATTTTAAACTACTAGACAACGAGACATCATGATTTAAAAAGATTTTGGAAATGTTGAATAGTTCGTAATCCAGTAATTTAAAATTAGCAATTTTAGTACCATCCGATCCGTCTTGACGAGACGATTCGAATGGTATCAAAATCATTAAATTTCGTTCACTGTATCATGAGATATAGTAAACTTTTCTAAAATAGGGCCCTTATATGTAATTATTTTACTTTTTGGGCCCTTATTTCTAAAATTTAGGGTTAGAGTTGGAGTATAAGTAGATTTCAGTAAGGTTTATATTTTCAAAAGGAGACCCCAAATTTCACCATCATCCGATTTCACGATCATCCGCGACATTAAATAGTTCTAATTCTAACCCTAAATGTAACGCGATTTTCTTGACTTTAATTTAATATTACAACTTTTATTTTGATTATTACAGATCACGTTATAGTGGGAGATTTTTGTAATCTATATAATGTGGGCGCGTCAAACAAAAAAATTTCAACTCTTAATATGGCATTATCGTCTGAGTTACTTGTCAGAATTTTTATAAATTTAAATATTCCCTCGTTATATTTCTGCACCTTAGTGAACCAACTTTGGTGCAACTTTTCAATTCTTATTCTATGGCGTGATCCGTTTTCACTTAGTAAAGACTCTACGTTTATATCCCGATATTTTTCATCTGTCAATGAAGATGACAAAATTACTTTAAACCCATATAGAATAACTTCAATTATGCAAAATTTTTAAAAGTTCTTGACCTTTATCACCTCGGATGTAATTTCGAAATTAGAAAATTTGATTGATTTAGAAAATTTTGCTAATTTATTAATTAAGTTATTTGTTGATAGTGGCGCTACTTTATCAAAATTCGTATCTCCCATACTTCAAATTTGGATATTAAAGCAAAGGTCTTTTGCTCATTAATACAGAATAAACGATTTTTTTCTCAACTTCAAGAATTAACTGTAAGATTACGTTACGGCGCATTTGTAAACTACCCCAAAATTTGAAAAAGTTTGACTACCGATAGTAAGTCAATTTAATTTGACTTCATAATTTGTCCCCAAATCCAAATATTCGGTCACTAAATTTATTTTTCATCCTAGTTCTATGGCAACATAACGTCTAGCCCATCCTTCCTACTATATCTGCTTAATTTCCTTGATTCCGCAAATGTGCGTATTGATCAGTTGACAATAATATTGACAAGCACATTGTGTTATTAAGAATCTTGGCTGAAAATTCCATTAAAATTCACACTTTAGAGCTAGTACCTGTCTCGAAGATGAAGAATTAGACGAGAATGTTATTATGAGAATTTGAAAGTTTTTCGAATTAGTTGTGGTGACAAATGGGACAAATGGCTACCATTTATTACAGATCTTAATACGTTGGAAGTAAAGTCAAACGAGCTTGATGGTTCATATTTAATTCAATTTTTAGAAAAATTTGGATTATCACTACAACGGCTTAAGCTTGTGTCTAGAAACGAAATTCATTCACAATTTTTGGTCTTGTGATGTTCTGTCCAAATATTACATATCTTAGCATTTCATATATTAATTTTACCTCCCATATTTTGATACTTATTTCAAGTTTACGCAAGCTTCAATTTCTTGAATTAGACTGGGATAGAGATGGACTACGATATCTTGAATGGAAAGGGAGAGGACAATATTCAAATCCATATATTGATAATTATTAGATAATATAGTATTGCATACGAAGTATGCAATAACCATATAAGCTGATCATAGTAAAGCATAAATAGATTGTAGTTTTATATATGGCAAAATTTGGCGGCTCCATGACTGATATCTTAATTTTTGTCTAAAAATTAATGTTTGCATTTAAATTTTTGGGGTTTTTTCGCCTTTAATTTTTAAATCGCATGATCTTACAACCGGATTTGATAAAAATCACAGAACCGCCAAATTTTTGCGCCATCACTATTTCACTCTATAAATAACACCAATTTATTATTAGGTTGCAGCTCTGATTACATCCTAAAAAAGTTGTAATTAATATTTGCAGCAAGCAATGCTAATGGAAGACGAGTCAGTGATAGACATTTTGGATATGATTCACCGCAAAATTTTTGTATTTGAGAGATGACATCACTAAATTAACCGACGGAACATTAATTATACGTTTCATATTGGCATAAAAAGAAGAATATATAATTAACGACTTACTCATCCAGTTGAAAACCTTTTGCTTTATCAAATTTAGTGAAGGGCCTATTTTTCCAAATCCCATTGTATATATCCGCCACAAAAGAATTGAAATCATTTATTTGGTTGATGTTGTAACGCAATGCACCACCAATGGATGTCTCCCGTTCACATTTATCGAATTCATCTTTATACCTATCAAAATTATCAATATTAAAAACAAGGTTTGCTGTGCAATATAAGCAGTTGAAAAACCGTACTACCGTAAGATAATGCCACAAATTCGGGACAGAGGCATTCCATAAGTCGAAAAAAAAGAGCGATAGATAACTGAATACGAGGGAAAGACAATTCCACGGCATTCATATTTAAGTTGCAGAAGCGTCGATATTTCCATAAAAGATAGAATAGCGTGTTGTACTTCTACTTGGTCTTCGTCCTGCGATAAAGGAGTAAACTGGCTATTTAAACGATTTACTACAAATATTTGAAAACCATCATAAAAGGGTATTAATTACTTCAGGCATAAGAATAGTTCGGTCAACATAATCAATAAAATTGCGTATGGTTTGAGAATAATCTCTGTCGATGGACAAGTTCCCAATTGAATTTTCTCTAAGTATTCAATAAAAAAATTTTGAGAGACAAAGCCATGCGTTAAATACAGGAAAGTTTCGATGATTTTTCTTACAAATCTTCATTATCATGATTTTCTTGTTCTATCCTTTCATAGTACCCCTCGTAAAGTAAAGTCCAATATTTTAGCAAACCAGCATAACAATGAATCAATTTGGACTAATCAATATTGATGAAATATTAGTTTCGTCTGACACGTATTAGGATAGACCATGTAATACAAACCTTCCAACTAGCCGATGAATTATTGTATAAAGATTGCAATGGTTTCAATATTTTTTCATAAAGTTCTAAAAAGGCAACAATTAGAAATAAATGAAGACAATTTATAATTGATTAAATGTTACAGTCATAAGTTACATTAATTTTAGATGTACTAAAAACTGACGGTTATAAGGTCCAGGTCTTAAGAATGTCAAAAGCCTGAAAATTAGTTCATGACATTCTCCGCCATCCCAAGATTGGATATATTTCATTAAGAACTCCTGAATAACGGGAAGTAACTCCTACAGGCAAAATTACATGCTTCAGCGATACATGTATTACAAAATATATAAGCACGATATTGTACCTTCATGAACTCTGTCATGGTAACTATTTTATTCAATAAGCAGTCAATTCTTATTTTCTTAGTCGCGTTTTGATCACTCCAATAAACTGTTTCCATGAGATATTGATCGATCCAATAGCTTATCCTTGCAATGGCAACCCCTGCAAACAATAAAATCGCTACATAATTAACATTTATTTCCTGATATTATATTAAATATAATTTGCATACTTTCTGGATTTGACACTATGACATGTTGAAGCATACGGTGGTCCAAAACAGAAGCTAATTGATTTGGTAGCTCGACTTTATCAATATTATTTGCGAGTTGCCTGATATCTGATATTTCATTAAGAGTGATCGATTTCTACTGGTGCAAAAAAAATGTTGAATAATCAGAATCATTAGTCATAATTAAAACATTACGTTTTATATTTTCTAATACTTACTTGAGTGACATTATATGTACGGGTGGTTGGTATATCGTTATGTTCTATTTTTCTTCGTTTCTCCTTAATTGATAAAGATAATTAAAATCTCTCATGAATGAAAGGCTTTATTAGAATGTTTGAATACCAACCACCATTTTTGGAATCATTGGTCTTGTCAAAGGCATATGTGATAAGGACTTGTCATTGTTCCATCTTCTCTGAACTTGATTTATTAACTGATACCATGCTATGTCGGGGCACTTAGAAAAAAAAAGCCAAATTTTTATGTCTTTAGAACCTTTTATGGATAGCCGTTCTTTTAATTTAATACATTAATACCTTAAATGTGATACTTCTTGATGGTTGAATGTCAATTGTCACTAAATTTGGAAAATAGTCTTTATAAAGTTTTAATAACCCTTGTATATGAGGTTCATAACCAGTCCGCGTCTGTAAATCAATTCTGTTAATAATTGTATAATCACAGCACTCATAATGATTAATTAAAAATATAAATAGTTAATGATAAATGCATATAATGTGAATCAAGCAATTACAATTTGCGTATTCGATACGACTTCACGTGCTCTCTCCGCGTCATGAGGTATAAGAGATGACATAGAATCGGCCTATGTAAAGGGAACGCTATTGTGTGCTGTTTCTTTTATTATAAACAATGAGAATTATTATATGGAGTTACCTTAAGGTAGCATATTCCAAATAGTGAAAAATAACGCCATAAAGCCTATAAATTTTTGAATGGTCCTCTATAAAACCATAAACCAATACAACCCAACGAAGCAAAAGCGCCTTGTAAATTAGAATGCATTTGAGTTAATAGACTGTCAATAATTGAACATTTGCTTTCAACAGATGAAAAAAAAAAAAACCTGTATACTATATTTCATATTTCTATTTCCAAGATTCCCAAAAATTTTTATCGCAGACATTTCAGATACTTTTTTACGCGGTACGAGAAGTTTGATTAGTTTCCTAACGTCAGAATCGTCTATTAAAAGCCCAGTAATAAACTTGATAAGCTTATATGTTCTTAGAACCACCACCTTATTAACACAACTAAGACTTACCAAGTTTTCCCTTTAAAATAAATTCCAGAAGCTCAGCTATTTGCGTGTCTTCAAGGCCATACCGTTGAGCAAGTGTTTCTAATTCATCGGCTTGGTCCTTTAGAGTGATTTTGCGATCTTTGTTCTTGATGATCGCATCCAAACTCATTATTAGAGGCTGGATCCTTTGAATATCCATATTCAATAAATATTTACGGGTTTACTGATATATAATATTAAATTTTATATGAATGCGCCAAAATTTTACGCGATTTAGTGTAACGTGACACGATCAAAAATAAATCTAGCAAGATAACAAGACCGGTGATTTTCTGTGACCACAGAATTTCTCTTAAACACAGCAAACTACAGAAATCACACTTTAGTTACCACAGAATACCACAAAATTCTAAAAAAGTCACAGAATTCTAAAAAACATAGCGCAGAATATCACAGAATTCTAGAATATTGCGCGTCGTGGTTGTAGAACCGAAATAAAAATAAATTTTATCGAATTTTGTTATTTAGTCACTGAGAAATATTTATTTATTGTTTAAAAAAATTTGCCGCAGCTTCTTGATTTACTTGAATATCTAAAATTCATAGAATTTGGTTAGATATTTATCGAAAATACTCGCTTAAAGTTTTAGTACCTATAAAAAAAAGCTGCGGAAAATTTTTTTTTAAACTTTAAATAAATATTTCTCAGTGATTACATAACCAAATTTAATATATATATATATATATTTCGATTCTACAAACACGCAGAATTAAAATAAAAAAATTTTCATCAAATTTGATCATGTTTTCACTGAGAAATCTTAGTTTAAAGTTAAAAGAAATTTATTATTTTTCTTTTTCTTGAACTCAAAATTTTTTTTAAGCTTTAAACTGAAATTTCTCGATGAAGACATGATCAAATTTGATATATTTTTTTATTTTAATTCTACATATTTGTAGAATCGAAATAAAAAAAATTGTCAAATTTGATTATGTAGTTACTGAGAAATATTTATTTAATGTTTAAAAAAAATTTGCTGCAGCTTTTTTTTTATGGATACTAAAATTTTAAGCAAATTTTTTTATTTTAATTTTGTAATTCTATATACCGTAGCGCACTGAGCAAAAGACCCGGGGTCTAATACAAAATACCCACCAAAAAATTTACAAAAGACCCGGGTATATTATTCAGCAGGGGGTCTGTGTCGCAAAGAAAAAAATTTCCAAGTATATACATATTTCGCATTTACAATAAGCCCACATTTAATTAATAGAGATATTGTGATTTGCTCCAGGGTATTTTGCATGGGTACTCAAGAAGGTGGTCTTTTGCTCAGTGTTCTACGGTAATTAATATAAAAAATTTTCATCGAATTTGGTTTGATATTCATCAAGGAAAATTTTTTTTTAAACAATAATAAATATTTCTTAGCAACTACATATAAAATTTTTTATTTTTATTCCACAATACGTAAAATTAAAATAAAAAAATTCATTTAAAGTTGAAAAAAAAATTTATTATGGCTTTTTAATTTTTTCAGATTTTATTTATCCTTTTTTAAACTTTAAGCAAAGTTTTCTTAAAAATTTTTTATTTTATCTATTAACTTATAGAATTATAATAAAAAAAAATTGCTCAAATTAATTAAGTATTTATCAAGAAATATTGGTTTAAAATTTAAAAATCTCTAAATTTTTATAATCAAAAAATATCAATGTTGTTAAATCACACTATTGATGTTTAATACTACAATAATTTTTATGGAGTTTGCTATTTATCGCCACTGGTGATCATCACCAGTGTTGCTATATCTCAAAAACGTACTAAGTAAACGGGATCAGGTCCTCTAAGTAAAAATTTTCAGGACCCCAAAAAACCTCACAAGAACTGAGATCGGGCCCTTATAGTAGCTCTATAATATATTATATAAAAAAAACAATAATTCTCTAATTTCTAACCC